TAGAAGTCTAAGTGAACAATACCTTGACACTGGCCTAAGTTCTAGATTGTCCTCTCTTTTACAGTTAATTAATGCAGTTTTCCCTCATTTTCAGGGAATAGGGGTTTTGCTCAATGGCTTGCTTGGTTCTGCTGGGACTACTGCATCAGTGTATTAAACTTGAAACTTAGGTATTAAACATATATTGAGTTCTGGATCATTACAAGGATATCTGCCAGCCTGAACTCTACTTTGCTCTTTAGAGTGAAAATGTAGGCCTGTTGGCATTGACAAGAGTTGGAAGCCGTAGAGTGATTCAAGTATCAGCTGGGTTCATGATTTTCTTCTCTGCATTTGGTAGGCCAGCAATTCAAGACTAACTCAATGTTGTTTGTCGATTTTGTTTCAAAATTTTATTAATCTATATAAGTTGAAAGTGCATTCCTTGTCACAAACAGGAGCGCAAAGTACTTTTTCCATTTCTTCTTTCTTCCATTGATGCTGCCGCTGATTACTCATCTGTGGCTATCTCATGTCCTTTACCAGGAAAATTTGGAGTTTTTTTCACTTCTGTACCACTGCCCATTGTAGCAGCTTCATACTGTGTTCTCTTTGGCTGTGTCTCTTCTGCTGGTCTTAGCTTTCTCCAATTCTGCAACCTCAACAGTTTCAAAACAAAATTCATATTAGGCTTTTCTTTCTTCATGGGTTTATCAGTTCCAAACTACTTCAGAGAATATTATCACGGTGGTTTGAGATTGGCTCTCCATGCTGGTTGGGTAAGATTCCTGGACTAATTTTCATCAAACCTGCATTTACTTTCTGTTTCTCGACTTAAATAAATCAACTCACTTTCTGTTTATTAATTTTTAATATATTTGTTCTTCTTTTTTATTGAACTGCAGTTCAGTGACATAGTGCTTGTGATCTTCATGTCTAACACAGCAGTTGCTGCTTTGGTTGCCTTGTTCTTTGATTTAACACTTTCTCGAGAAAATGATGAAACCAAAAAGGATAGTGGCTTGAAATGGTGGGAGACAAATCAGATGTTAGGAATGATGAATTCTAGGCGCTACCCTGCAGGGTCAACAAGCTTTTCCCAGCTCTTTAGTACACTTGAAACTAAACAGCATCTTCTTAACTTCATTTGAAGGAGAAAAGGATAAACTGTGGTTAGTTTTGCAGTAATCATTCTTTGCTTTCCAGTTCCTTTTTAAGCATTAAAGTTGAATTAATTTCCAAATCTTCATTTTCCTTCTGCCCCGATCTTCAAATTCTGATTTCCAAAATATATCAAAACCAAAAGAACAACAACAAAAAATCAAATTCAAAAGAGTGAGAACAGTTAACAGTGAGCTTAATCCAATCACTGATTGCCTTAAATTGATCATGTAAGCATAGCCCCAATTGAACTTAACAAATTGACATATCAAAGGTTGGCCTCTTGCCTAGTGGTCCTTGTATAGAAAAATAATGTGTTACCAACTTATAAGATTTGGATTCCATCACAAACCGGCAGCAAAGAGTTGCTATCCACCATAGAACATGATTCATGTCTACATTAGGCATACAAAGAAAGCAAAGATCAGAAAAGAGAAAAAAGATGCAACAATTGAACATATGTGATCTGCATTTTTCATTTTTAACTATCCATTCTTGCCTATGCAAGATTTTTTACTTTACCTAGAAGGAAAGAAGAATATATACCTACAAGTAGGGGTGTGCATGGGTCGGTTTCGGTCGGTTTCGGGTCTGTTTTTCATCAAAACCGATCAAAAATTTTTAAGATATAACCGACCGAACCGTAATGATATAAAATCGGTTTCGGTCGGTTTCGGTCGGTTTTTGATGATGAGATCAATGGGTTGACTTAAGATTGAACTTGGGTTAAATGGGTTGAATTGAACTATGATCTATGGGTTAAAATGGTGTATAATGATTAATGGTGCATAAAATGACTCGTGGGAGACTGGAGGGGGCAGGCCCAGGCGGCAGGGGGGAATCGGGACTCGTGGGAGGGGGGCAGGGGGAATCGGGACTCGTGGGAGGGGGGCAGGGGGATCGGGACTCGTGGAAGGGGGCCGGGGGGAATCGGTAGGAGTGGGAGGCGGGGCCGGGGGGAATCAAGTCGGGTCCGTCGGGTGGGGGGGGGGGGGGCTGGGAGCCTGGGAGGGGGGACCGGCCGGCCAGGGGAAATCATTCAAATCAACACAACAATCAGGAGTGGGGGGGGGGGGGGTCGGGGGAAATAGTAGGGGCGGGCCATGGGTAGCCGGGGTAGCTGGGGTAGCTGGGGGGCTCAGTTTTTTCGATCGGTTCGCGGGGAAAGGATTCCCCCCGACGACCGAGCCGATCAGCGACCGAGGCCGATCGGCACAACCGACGGTTGTTTTTGCTATGTGGACGGTTGGACGGTTCACCAACCGTTGCCCACTTCCTACCTACAAGGATTCAACTGAAGGTAGAACCCAAAATGGAAAGGCAGAGATTTTGATTAAAATGTGATTTGTAAGCTAAGTGATGAATTCATCAAGCTGTGCACTCTAAGGCCCCCCTTTTTCCGTCAACAACCATATCCATCCAATTGAAAATTTGAAGTGTCATTTCTTAAAATAAAATAAAGTAGTCAATGTTAGACAAAGATTTTGCTTTTTCATTTGACTTTATGTTTATTCTATGAAAAGATTTCATGAACATTTTCCTTCAATAAGAATTCTCCATTGAAGATTGAGAAGAACATATTCCACTGTTTGGGTGGCAAGAGGATCTAAAATTAGATGCTAACATTATAAGGCTTATCAGCACTAGTACTGTTCCTTTCAAACTCTATATATACCAAGTACCTTCTTCCCCTTGGTGCATAAAACTGAGAAGGAAAGAAGTCTTACATGAAGTAAAGAGTCATGCTTGGTAGCCAAGGATGACTTGCCTGCACCTTTCCCCAGGGATTCAAGTAAATGGCTAAGAAACCTGAAACTCCTTTCAGGTTGCCAGGCAGTCACCGAGGCTATTCTAGCAGGTTCTTTTCCCTCGTGTTAGACCTTGTCTTCTTTGTCATTAGTTATCTATATATAAATCTATGCTACTACATAGTATGGCATATAAATGTGATCTGCATGATATATTGGTTTGCTAATTTGACTGAAATGTCAAGTTTTAATGTGTCTATGGCTGCATCCAATGTTCAGATCATGAGGCCTATGGATCATAAGCCCCGTTCATCTCCTCTTTTTTATCCTTTGTTCTATCTTTCGTTATTCTTTCCGTTCCCATCTCCTTCTTGTTGCCTTTCTTTCTCTCATTGACTCTCACTGTTGCTGACTTGCTTCATTGTTGCCGCTGCCAGACCTTACGGTCCTTACCTGCCACGGCTTCGAACGCCAAGGAATCTTTTTCCTTGTTTATTCCTCATTTCCTTCGATACCCATTTTTAATACTTCACTTGAGTTGCTGAATTGCAAGAATTTCATGGGAGTCGAAGTGGAGGTTCTCGAGTCTGAGAACCTTTTGGGAGATTGGGAGGGACCAAATTTTTGAGGTGGTTGCTATTCTTACAACCACACTGAGTCAACTGGGTTGTCTATTGGATTTAAAGTAAAAAATCACTTAGTTACAAAATTATTGCCACTTTTATTGATGAGATTGTCTTTTTCATCCTTAGTTTGTTCATTGCAGTTGTTGCATGACCTTATGGGATTTTGAGCAGTTAGAATAGAACTTGGAACTTTGAATAATCATTAACAATGGAAGAAAAGGAGAGAAAGTGAGGAAACCCGATCAAAGTGCGTATATGGATAACTTCAATTGGTGTTTGGTTGTCGAGAATGTGAATGAAAATGAAGAGAAAATGAGGAAATAGATAAATAAAAAAAGATAGGAGAACAATTTCATGTTAGAGAGAGAATTGTTGCCACAACACCAAATATACTGCTGGCAAATGTTAATTTCCATTGACATCCATATATATACATGTTTAAATAAAAGAATTATAGAATGAAAAAAAAAAGGAATTTAAAAGAATTATTAGAGAAATTAAGGGACAAATTATGTTATTAATTAATTTCATCCAAACTTTGGTTTGCTCATATGATAGGAAAGAATCAACTCCAACCAAAGCATGTCCGCCTTTGCCTTCTTGTCACTCTTTTGCTACTCTTGAATCTTGTGTTCCTCTTCATATTGGAAGCTGTCTTTACACGAACTTGACCCAACACCTTTCCACAAGTTGAACACGATCTGCAATCAAATCACATACAGTAACTAAAATACGATCACATTTCTCTCTCTCTCTCTGTCTCTCTGTCTCTCTTAAATAACAGGAAAGAAAGAGAGAAAGATCAATAATTCATTTTGCAAAATGGTCGAGGAACAAGTGAAAAAATTATACAATACATGGAAAGATGAGATTACTTACACGAAGCCGCCGTCGAGAGCCAACCTGCAAAAATTCAGGCAGTGAGAGCACCAACCATGTACCATCGTTTTGCCGTAATCTGTATCAAAGCCTGGAAAGTGGGAACCCAGAAATTTTCCTGGACAAGAGTAGACCAGAAGAAAACAAATGCCCCTTTTTTTTGGCTTTCAATGTTAGGGTTTTATGGAGGTGTAATTTTCTTGGGAAGCAAGAATCCAAGGGAAGCCCGGCAGGGCATTGATGTTTTTAAGAGACTTGGGCTGTCTGTCTCATTGACTTGATTGGCCTTATTCTGGAACCTTTTATAGCTAGTGAGCTGAATAAGTTGGCTACAAACTAATCGATAGGAGATGCCTTTGCTGTTAAGGGAACATCTACTGATAAAGTTGGACGTTGGAAGTGTGAAGATTAAGCAAGGTACGACTAAATATTGGCACAAGTTTAGGTCTATGGAGGAAGTTTGACTATTTCTATATCCAGAAAGGCAAAAACCGATTACTCGTCCAGGTCTAGTCGGCCTCATTCCTCACCATCTTCTTGTTTTTAACTCTGGCAGAATTCTTTCCTTAAAAAATTAAAACAATAAAAAAAGAACAGCTAAAGCAGATTGGCCAAGGTATTATTCATTAATATATTCACATTTGGACACCCAAAAAGTAAATACAGCATTGACGAAAGTGAAATATTGCAAAAAGATAAATGTTTTTGTGGCAACCTTCCTGACTCACTCTGACAGAATATGCAGTGGGAACTACTCTAGCATACGCATACCCACGTTTGCCTCTAGAATCCGCCGCTTCACTGAAGAATCCAATTTAACCACACGATCGACTCATTAGCAACTCGTATTTCGGGTCCATCCATCCTTACCATCTTGAGCAAACCAGGGGCCAAACATAACTAGAAAATTGATTTTTCTAGCCGGTCCTCAAACTGCCTGCCTACTCAACTAACGATGCAAATCTCGGCCAATCCACAAGGAGAGCAACAGAAGACACAAAGGAAAAATGAATAAGTTAAGATTAACAATTTTCCACCTGGAAATGGCAAAATTTGTTAGCGACGCAGTAAACGGATCACCAGGGCCATGTCTTGCCTTTCACCTGCTTCCAACAATTAGCAGACATTTAGAATAAACCCACAAATTTATAACATCTATTTTACTCCTCTACAAGTTGGCAGTGCTTCTGGTTTCTGCCTCTGCTTCAGGGTTTTTTTTTTTTTTTCTTTTTTGACATCATCGCTTCTTTTTTTTTGTTAATTTCTTTTTTTGGTGCTGGGAAACCAACCAATCAGGTGTTCAAATGGGCCATTGAGCAGGATATTATCACACCAATTTACAAGACAACAATCTTGAGATCAGGTTCTTTGCCTGACCCTCCTGCCATTGGTATCACCATCTGAAAGTTGTGCCCACACACTCCGAGATTTTCCACCACTGCTATGATCCTCATCACAACCTGCAACTGTCTTCAGGAGCTCTGACTGAAGTGAAGGGCAGTTCTCTTTTAGGTATTCAAAGCCATCCGTACGCATGACAGCTGCAAGAAGACCACCCATTAGGGATTGAGATAGCAAATATATTGCACAAGAAAACTTTCATTCTTGATTTTAACCTTTCCAACTATCTACATTGCTCCTGAGAAGGAAGATAGTCTATAAATATTCTAAGGTTTAAGTCACAAGAATATCTAAGAACAAGCTAAAGATGTTAAAAACTCCAACAAGAATAAGCTCCACCCATCATTATTCAAGAGAAGAAGGATTTTAGAAATTTCTCTGAAGTACATACTATTATAGCTAAATCCACAGTTGCTTCCAAAACCAAGCTAGTTTCATTAAATCATGCATGAACAATAATAAGCTCACACATGAAAACTGCAGACTCAGCACGTGGCTGAATCTCGACAGTAACTATTTTTCCAACCCACGACTTTACTTGAGCATAGGTTCTCACGCACACTAAGTGGCCTATGAAAAAAGGAATAGCACACAAGTGTCACAACAACATGAAACATGGGCCTGTTCCCCCCGTGCCCTTACACGTTTATTGCTAAACACACATACAACAGCAATTGCATATACAAGGGGCACAATAAATTTTGAAGGTTGAGGATTCAAATTTTGGAAACTTATTATTTCACAACACTTTATATCTTATTGATGAGAAAATATGGAAGTAAATGTCAAAGAAAATATATAAAAGTGGAAGAAGGTAAAAAGACCTGCAAGTTTTCAGCAGCAAAATCTGAGACAACAGCTTTTAACTCCGAAGCATGATATTGGTCAGCCAAAGTAGAATTTTGGCAACAGAGTTTACAGATATATCTTGCAGAGATGGGATTCACCACTTAATTTCAGTCTCTCCACACCATACCCATCTGCTGCTGCTAACAATTTTGCTATTAGTGTTTCAGATATTGATGACACAGAAGAGAAGGTAGACCAACACTCTCCACATCTTCTGAAAGAGTGTCTCTGTATATAAAGTGCAACAAGGCCTGTTTGACACATAAAAGAAAAGCAGAAATAATGATTATAATACAATCACAGGAACAACACTCAGATCTAAGCCCTTAAAGGAAAGGCAGAAAAAGGATGTGAATGTTTTCACCTTAAAAACCTTTGGATCAAGATTGGGTGATGACTCTCTTGCTTTTCTTCATCCATCCCATCAAAAAATTCAGATCGAAAAACAGGGGATCGAGCAGCTAATACCAATTTATGGCATGAAATTTTTCCCCAGCCACATCAAATGTAATGTCTGAACCTTGCATATTTTCCAGCCAATACCAAAATTGTGTCCTATATTAGACTCTGGCACCTGAATTGAGTGTAATCGTGAACAATCTATTGCTGAAACGACAACTCCAACTGTACAATTTATTTTCAAGCAATCATCCTTGATGTAATCTGATGTTTCAAGTAACGCTCGTCTGAAAAAACGCTTGTACCCCCTAGATTAATGAGAACAGAGGAGAAAGAATAATTACTTACGTACAGCAGCATGAACAATACATAGACTATTAACAGATTCCATTCAATTAGCTATAGAATAGGCCTTCCCAAGATCAATATTATAATCAAATAAGTAGAAACTCAAACACTGCAGACACCCGAAGGTACAAGTGAACACATTTCAAAATACACAAATTCTTCGATAACAAAACAATTTATTCCTAACAAAGCAATATCTCACCTTGCTTACACGATAATTTATGTTTTATATTGAAATTAAAAGCTGATAAACAAGAGTTTTCAATCACAAGTCCAGCTGAAACTTCAGAAAGCATCTTTAGCATATGATATGTGTATAGAGAGACACCCATAAATCTGTTAATACTAATATAGTTCCCACAACCAATGTTCTTACTTCTCCTGATGGCAAAAGAATATCATTGGGTCCTCTTTCCAAACAAGAGGTACAAAGAGATCCACCACATTCAAGATATTTCTTTTCTATAATTTTTTTGGAGACAGTCACATTGCTTCAAAAGTATGAAGGAGTAAAACAACAACGACAAAGTTAGGCTCCGTTCTGTCGTTGTTTCCGCTACTTGGTTTTCCGTGCATTAAAATTAAAATTGTGATTTTGGTTTCTACCAATCGCTTTTGCGCAGACTCTATTCATTCAAATTCCAAATATTTTATCATTAATAAAATTAAAAAAAAGAACGAGGATATAAAGGGAAGAAACCTACCACATACTACCACGATATTTGAGGGTATAAGGCCCACTCTCAAGGGACCGATCGAAATGGCTATGAACCTTATGCTTGCCTTTACCGCTCTGATCCACAAGCGTCAGCTCGAAAAGCGCCCTAACATCGGTGCCTTCGCTAGCCAATGCAATGAAAACGGAGACGTAAGTGGAATTATCTTCTGGGTTTTTGCCGTCGGGGTAAAAGTAAATAGCCCACTGGTAGCCGCCCACAGTGAAATTGTCGCTGGCAATGTGCTTCCCCACGCCAATCCCTTTCGCTAAGCTGTATCCCTGGATCACGAACCGGTGCGATCCGTTCACCGTCTCCGTCACCGACCGTGAGCTGGTTGGAGAAACCAGTGGGACTTGCTCAGCTTCCGCCGTCGCCGTCGGCGATGTTGCGCCGTTTGTCATTGGGGTATTTCAATGGTTTAGGGTTTTGGATTGGATAGGTTCATCGAATTGAGGAAGAATTCGAGTGGAAGTTTCAAGAATCGTAGGCTTTTTCTATCTCTGGATTTGATTTTGTTTTTCTATAATAAGTAGAACGGAAAAGGGCAGACGATGATGTGAAATTCATACACATCTATAGATCCTCCTTGTCTTCTTGTCTGTATAACTTTAAAATTACAATCTTGACCAAGCCTTTCAGAGAAAAATATATTCTCACCTCCAAAATGTCATTTCTTTTTCTAAAGTATTTAATTTAATTTGTTTTACATATATCTTTTTCTGGTAAGTATTTTTTTTTTTATTTTTAGAGTGAAAATATTTTAGTATCTCTTGAAATTTTATTCTAAAAAATTAAATAATTTTAATCTTTTAATTATTATTATTATTTTTACATATCATTTCAGTATCAAAAATAATTTATATGATATCTCATTTGAATTGGACATATTGCGCCGTTTGCCACTAAAATTATTTAACTTTTTAAAACAAAATTTTAAGAGCTAATAACATATTTTCACTCCTAAGTCTTTTTTTAACTCTTTTCTATTTAATCATTCTCTTCTCTTTAGGATCACCTCCAGGACAGTCTTATTTAGAATATTTCCTCTCTCTTTATCACAAGATTTTTTTGTTATAAAATTAATATATATAGCTTCAAGGGATCAAATTTGGATAGTAAAACCCATTATGCTCATAACAGAAATGAACACAACTAAAGAACTCTTGACATACATCGTGATTGCGAGATGGATGTTCACAGTTCTTTAACTACTCATTCAATGGATTGGAACACAAGAAAGAACAAAGTCAAGCTTCACTCTACCTCCTGCATTTGCCCACTTATTTACTCATCAATCTTTTTTTACCCAATCCTATGTATGACAATCACAAGTCACAAGCTTCGAGCTTTAAACAACAAATGGTCACCGATAGAATGTTCCTACTTGTTAGTGCTTATCTTAGGTTAACGACCAAAGAAGATTTGATACAAACTGTTAATCTGCAATAGTCATCTTGAGTGCAATGAGAGTAAAAATTAAAATCCAAATGTGATGAAGGTAAATCGGAGTTGTTACAACATTGATCCTGTCGATTTCAGCCGTCACGGAAGCAATGCAACAAATTTTGGCCAACTTTTCCCCCCTTTATACTCATTCATTAGTTCCCACGTAAAAGAACTACACTTGTGCAAGTACTATGTACTCTCTTCACTCTTCTGCCTCTCCATTATGGGTCTCAGAAACATAAGAAGATGCTGCGGCCTTTCCTTTTCTATCTGATGAGGCTGTGAGACCAATGTCCATGCTTTCCTCAGTTTTTGGCTTCTGCAGAAGTTGGCGCTGATGCTGCAACACCTATAGAGAAAAGAGAAAATATGTTGAGAAAACAGTAGATCTGGCAATTTCGAACAAGATCACATTAACACAACACGAAATTAGGAGAGTTCAGATTTTCTATAATTATGTTCATGTCATAATCATGTGAACCCGTTTATGCCACAAAAAATATTTGTCTTATGCATGTTGACATGATTAATCCGTATATGACATGTTTAATTAGTCTTATGTAACAGGTTTATACATTATTCAACATGTCTAACCCATTTAAACTCATATATTGAATTAGTATATCTAAAATACATAAAATAACTTACTATTCATATTTAAATAAGTTAATCGTGTCTAAATAGATTAACATGGCTAAACAGGTTAATTGTATTTAATGTGTTAACCTTGTCATGTCATGAAATCTGTGCAATAAATGTGTCGTTCACATGTCGACCCGTTTATCTGTTGTGCCCTTACCTTTACATCACACAATTACCACACATTAACACAAATTGCTAGCCCTATAAAACAGCAGTGATAAATTGGAACAGAGTTAGCTGATTTTACATTTTTTGATGTCCAAAGTTATTTTAACCAGAAAAACAACCCTCTAAACATAAGACAGAGACAATCAAATACCCTGCATCCTATTGCAAGCAATGCACTCCAAATCTCACCTTGATCACACAATTATATGGATATATAGTCTACTGAAGTCCTGTGAAAATATGTATATCCTAAGGTAGGGCACAAGAAATTACAACTGTCTTTGAAAATTTTGCAACACAATTCTATAAAGAAAGCAAGAATAGCACGACAATACTACATAAATGATACCTCAATCTTCTGTTGAATAATCTTCTTCTGAGCTTCCAACTGAGAATCTGGAATATTCTGATAACTACCCAATCCCTCTCCTGAATTTCCATTGGCACCAGGTAACTGGAAAGGGACAAAAACACAATGTGGGAATTGCGGAAAGGACAAGTTTGCATGTCCACCAGGAATGGCAAACTGTTGTTGTCCAATGAATGTTCTTTCCCCACTAGATTCGACCTTGGTGGAGTCAGCTGAAGGCCCATAAGCCTGAGGAAGTACAGCATATCCAGAAGACCTGCATGGAAAATGCACAAGGTTATAGTAACAGTTGGGACTAACCAACTAATGCACTTAGAACCAGATCTGATCATGTAGAAAAACTGGCATCCATAGGACAATTGGAAAGCATAGCAGATGTGAGTGCAAAGACCTTGAAGGTCTAGAGAGGCCTCTAAACCAATGAACCACTGTTCAGCTTTTGAAACTAGCACTCAGATGCTACATGCTCCACTTGTGTTTAAAGGCTCCCCTTCCATTTGGGTTAGACAATTCACTTCATTTTGCCACCCAATACTCACTAAATATCATATAGCTCCTGTGATAGATCTCATTTAAATGATTACCTTCTCATATAAATTTATGATTTCATAAATAAATTTGAAAGAGGCTAACTAGAGGAGAACTGTGTTGCCACTCTATAACGGCCTATACACACACAAAACTTTTCCACAGCCCAAAAGTCAAACCAATTAGGTCTGAATGCAACATTCCCAACTCTCAAAGGTATAAGGAATTGCAATAACTGATAATTAGTGCACTACAATTGGCACATAATAAAAAACACATGGGAAAAAGAGGTGAGGTTATATAGAGCCAGCAAAATGAGGAAATGCAAATGTCATCGACAGACATGCAATATTACAAGCATGAAACTACCTACCAAACTAGTGTGTTTGCAGAAGGATAGACGTAGGATTTCTCGTATATTGACGCCGCTGCAGCAGCAGCCTGAAGCCTGGCCTGATGCTGGGTCAAATTATCAGTGGCCATGTCACCACCAGGACCTTGGGTAGCTGAACTTGTGCTCGACCCTGTTCACACTTTAACAATTAGTCCATGTTTTTCAAACAGTGAAGTCAGTTTGGTTAACAGCAAAATTACAAAAATTAGAAATGAAGCAATATCGCTGCAGAACAAAGTCGTAATAATTAATGTCCAAATCCCAAATTCTTTGCAAATCAAAGCAGCTTACCAGCTTCTATATCCCATATAATAATGGGGATAAGGAAAAGGTTATCCCCAAAATATAGGAACTAAAACATAGAAAACATCTTCTATATAGGCCTCAGAGTTGGGGAGAAAAAGCCTTCAAGTAATGTAACATACCAAAGTGCAAGCCTTGAAGCATGGGTAACAGCCATGGACATTTTGCATTATTGCACCTTTCAGGAGGCACATACCCTAGCTAGCTTAAATGCAGATCAACAAGGCATAAAGAGATAGCAACTAAAAAGATGAAGAACTGAATTTTGAGCTAATAATGGGCAGGGAACATAAATACCCCGAAGTTAACTTTACCCAATACCTAGGAGAAAGCAACAAACTTTTAAAAGTTTTGCAATTTATTTTTGCATGATGCATATTATCTCAAAACCAAAAAGCAGAACTAATGGCTGGCATACATCAGTTTGGATTTACTAAAAAAATCAAAGTGCTCAAGAAAAGATTTCACCTTATAATAGATAATGTCACAATGAGATTACCTTGTTGATGAGCATCCGACCGAGGTCCATGCTGCCCCCCGGCTGAGCTTGTTCCGTTTTCAGGTGGTACAACCAGTGCTCTGCATGTAGGGCAGGTATGCTGTCTCTCTAGCCATGATCGAAGGCAGTGCACATGAAACAGATGTCCACAAACTAACTTCTTTGCTGTGGTCATCTCTTCTCGACATATAATACAAGTTGCATCACTTCTGTTCACCCCATCAGTAAGCAGTTAAGAATAGCAACTCAGAATACAATTAAAAGATTCTTGAATATCATAAAAAATAACTTCACAAACAAATATTTGACTCACGCATTGAGCTCTTCTGGGGTTGCATCTGGGAATCTATCATTCATGTTTGAAGTGATCTTCCTATAACGCATGTAATCAGCAACACGAATTTTGAAATTCCTAAAGGTCTCATAGAGCTCCCGTATTAAGTGCAGAGGTACACCATAGTTCCTGCAGAAACCAATTAACAACCATCCAATGAATTAAGCTATATGATATTTACAAGTGGATCAGGAGATCTGAGACTTTGGTAAAAAATACCCTTTTTTTTTTCCTTTATTTTAAGACCTTGCAATGCCCACCAAGCCTTCCATTAAAAAGTGGCAACTGGGCAGAAATCTCAATACCTCTAGGTGAGTCTTAGTTCTCTTGAGTACTACACTAAACTTTTTTCAGGATCAGAAACTAATTTTCTGTGTCAAGACAGCCAAATGTAATAGAAGCCAAGTTTTGGTACTATCCCATTCATATATCAGCAAACCCATGATGGAAAAGCAGGAAAAATAACTGGATATATTTATGCCAATTGGTAATTATACATTCACTGACATTGTACCTGAATTACATTTTCATGTCTCAAGGATATAAAACAGACGAGAAAACAGCTATCAAACTTGCTTGTACTCTCTAGATATGTGAGAAAACAAGTCTCAATCTAGAATGCCTCATCTACAGCAATTCTGATAAAAAACCATGTAGCCCTAATAACATAGAGGTAAATTTGCTCTGCTTCTCCATTCAACATGTGCATGTTTATAACCCAGTAAATACAATCTGAAAATATGTAACTCACTACCAAGATTTGAGCTTAGGTTGATGTCCATCAGCCCAATGCATCTGTATATATTAGAGAATTCTAAATGCCTAATGCCACCCTTCAAAATAAAAGCTACCAAGATAACTGATAGGATTTGAAGCATGATACAAACTCCTAAATGAAAGTTAGCATTCTATCCAAAACCAACCAGAAAGATTTACAGCACAGCTTATAAAATTGCTTTAACTTGCATTATGCCCTCAA